TTGTATGTATGTATGTATATATGTATATATGTATGTATGTATATATGTATGTATGCAATTATGTATTTATGTATGTATGTATACATGTATGTATGTATGTATGTATGCATGGTGCGTATGTATGTATGTATGTATTTATGTCTACTACGGTAGGTAAGGTTGAGCATATGAAATTACGCGTGTACAAATACTACTGCCCGGTGAGTAGTTGAGCAGTTCACATGTGCATGTGGATTGCTCGAACCGTTTAGCATGTGGTGCGATCGATAGTACCGGGCAGAAAGACCATGTTCCATCACCAAGAACGCACACTTCTGCCATTAATACGCACACATTCACACTAGCACTCATACTCATGAACCCCTGGCCTCTTGTTGATGCGCAGACGTCCATCACTATCAGCACGTACACCATGGTAGCCTTCACCGGCAAGCGTTCATACGAAGCGGAGAAGGTCATGAACCATCTACAGGACACCGAGTGGGGTCTGCTGCTGATGGACGAGGTGCATGTGGTGCCAGCTAACATGTTCCGTAAGGTGTTGACCAACACATCGGCGCAGTGTAAGGTATGTGTTGGCGTGTTTTAGGGGATTAGTTGTAGGGGTTTAGAGGTATGTGTTGGCCTGTTTTGGGGGCGTAGTTGTAGGGTTTTAGGGGTATGTGCTTGCCTATCTGGATCTCTTGTTGTCTGAGCAGCGCAGATCGCACAGTAGATCTGATGATTTCATAGTATTACATGGTTTTCTAATGTATTGCTGGCTATATAATGTTTGGTTCTAGCTGTCACTTGTTTCTTAAGATCCCACGCAACACGTCTGTACAGTCTAAGGTGTGGGCGTACTTGGTTGTTAGTTGCCAGAGATAAAGTACATCGTGCTTGTATATATAAGTTCATGCCTTTGCATGTACGTGAGCGGCTTTCGATGTGTATTTACAAACTGTAGTGTGCAATTTGCCACTCTGCATTCGACTGCGACTGTACTGGCCGTATGTGTTACGGAGGATGAGCTTGTACAGACATAGCTGATGCGCTTACGTGAAGTGTTTAGTCTGAATTAGAACGTGGTATGTAAGTGTGCCTTGTTCATGAGTGGGTATGCGTCTTGAATTATACTTTTCGATATACAGTAGTTTTGCAAGTGTACGTAAAAACACGTGCATGTATTTCACATGTATTGGGTGCGCAGTAGGATTCAAAAGTGCCTGGTAACGTGTTGTCGACAGCTTTGAATTAATCTGCTGCATGGGTTCTCATATGCGCAGCTGGCATTGTTTTTATATACTCATATCTGCCTATGTCTGTCCTTAATTTTCGCTTTAATAGATACATACGAACGTGTATGTGGACAACTCTCAACTGGTATTAATGATATTGGGTCTTGTATCTTTCGTTGGTTTTATCAGGTGGGATTAACCGCTACACTGGTGCGAGAAGACGATAAAATCGCCGATCTGAATTTTTTGATTGGCCCAAAATTGTACGAAGCAAATTGGATGGATTTGCAGAACGAAGGGTTTTTGGCGAAGGTGAAATATAAGAATATCTGCAACACTTACGCACACTACTATTCACGAGGTTCATTACATACCATACACGCACATATATGTTGGATTCTTACCAAATACACAAGGTCAGAAGGCAGTACAAGTGTAAGTCTATGCATGTGCCTTATCCGTTGAAGGCGTCGTGTTCACTACACATTGATGTTATTGTTATTCTTCAGATTGGGACAGTAACTGCACTCGCACGTTCATGTCGCATGACTTTGTCATTGTTGACTTCTATGTGAACATGTCACGTATAATGCTCGTGCCTGATATTTTTGCGGTTGATAGGTATTCTGTTCCATACCAATGTACATGACTAGTGTGCGAGTAACCAAGATTTCGGATATTGAAAATGCAGGCACGTGTATGTTTGCGTAATTGTATATACATATACGGATACTTCTAATTGCCAAAGCCAACTCCACCCTTTCAGTTTTCACTGGGCCTTCAGACTCTAGTGATATACTTGCTATACTTTCACTTGCTATACTTCTCGGCATAGTTTAATACCAGAATACCATGCTGGCTCTTATTTACACATTGCTGTGTCGCTGTACACGCACATATGACGTTTAACGTATGTACAGCCTGTATCGTACAAACGCCCCTGACCTGAATATCTCACACATGCACAGGTCAAATGCTGGGAAGTATGGTGTGATATGACTCCCGAATTCTATTACCACTATCTGCGCCAAACCAACCGTAAGCGAATGTTGTTGTGGGCCACCAATCCCAACAAATACCGCACCGCTTACTTTCTGGCGGAGAAGCACGCCAATGCCGGGGACAAGGTACCATTTCACACATAAATACTATATATATATATATATATATGTATGTATACACA